ATAAACCCACCCATTTATGGCCAATTGATTTTTAACAAGAAAACTAAGGCAATTTCAACAACTGGTGCTGAGACAACTGAATATTTACATCCCAAAAATAAATCTGGCCTCTACTTTTTACCACATACAAAAATTAAGTTAAAATGTTTCAAATATCTAAATGTGATAATTACATCTATTAAAAATCTTAGAAGAAAACATGAATACAAATGTTTATGACCTTGCACTAGGCAATGATGTCCTGGATCTGACACCTAAAGGCAAAGCAACGAAAGAATAGATAACCTGGACTTCATAAACATTAAAAACTTTTATGTTTCTAAAGACACTGTCAAGAAAGTGAAAAAGACTACCCATATAATTAATAAGAAAAATATTTACAAATCATATATTTGACTAGGATCTAGTTTTCAGAATATGTAGAGAACTATTATAATTCTATAATAAAACAAAAATTAACCTTATTATAAAGTAGGCAAATGATTTGGACACAATTCTTTAAAATTGGAGGAATGCAAATCAGAATAACAGTATGATGCCACTTTATGTCCACTAGGATGGCAAAATCAAAAACACAGAAAATAATAAGAGTTGTGAGTATGGCCAACCCTCTTTCTGGTCCCTTCCTGCTGCCAGGAGCTTTCATATCTTCTAATAAATACTGACTTACACACACACACACACACACACAAAGTTGTGAGTATGTGGAGAAATTTAAAACATACATACATATTTAATGGGAATGTAATATGGTGCCACTGTTTTGGAAAGTTTTTGGCAGTGCTTAAAGAAACAAAAACAAAAACTATTGCGTTTTTATATGACCTAGAAATTTCACTTCTAGGTTTATACTCAAGAAAATTGAAAACGTATATCTACAAAAAACTTTTGCATGAATGTTCACTGCAGCATTATTCATAATAGTCCCAAAGTGGGACACCCTAAATATCTGCCAACTGGTTAGTAAATAAATAAATTATGATATATCCATACAATGTGCTATTATTCAGTCATAAAAAGTAATGAAGCACTGATTTTTGTTATAAGCGACTTTGATGAACCTTGAAAAAAATTATGCTTAACTAAAAAGCCAGGTACAAAAATTTACATATTATATAATTCCATTTATATGAAATGTCTTGATTAGGTAAATTATAGATGCAGAAAAGGCATATGATGTCTAAACCGGTGGTAAGAATGGGAAGTCAATGCTACTAGGTACAGATTGGTTTTCAGTGCTGAAAATGTTCTGGAATGAGACAGTAAACTGGGGGAAAAATCATCCTAAGCTTCTTTAATTAGTCCATCATTAACTTTATTCTAAAACTTGAAAAGGTCATTACCAAAAAGGAAATTATTGGCCAATGTCATAAATAAACATATACATAAAATCATGGTAATATGTAAGTATACTGAATCCAGAGATATATAGAAAATACTGTACATCATGACCAAGTTTGGTTTATTCCAGAAATATAAGATTAGTTTAATATAAAAGTGTATCGATATATTTCACATCTATAGAATGAGAAAAATGAAATTATCATTTTTACTTCCTTAGTTTTAAATTTTTGTTCAATAAACCCAGATATAGTACTTTCTATCACTATCTTTGAGGTTTCAGATCTTTGTGTAAGCACTATAATGAAAACACGTCAACTCTGGAGAGCATTATTCTTTAGGAAAAACTGCTAACAGCAGGGCCCTTTGAATTACACACTGTAGATCAATCTGACTACTTTTTCAGATGTCTTTCTGAAGCTACAAAGAAAAGGAAACAATAATTCTTTTATGGCTATCATAATTACTGAAATGGAATAGAATGGTATATCTGAAATGGAATAACATGGTATATCTTTGCAAAAGTATGCCTCTTTGCTTGTTGAAATGTTAGAAAAGGAGTAAAAAGTTTTATATGTGTCAAAGTCCACTGTGATTTAGAAATGATATCTTCTCACTTTGAATTCCTGTGTGCGTTGCCATTACTTGAGGTAGAGAGACAATCCATTTACATAAAATCTGCTTATGTATGAGCACTCACTCTCAGACTTTTTTTTTGCTATTAAAATACAATTTAATCACAATAGCAAGAACATGGAGCCAACCGTGCTGCCCATCAAAGAGGAATGGATAAAAAATGTGGTACATATACACAATGAAATATTATGCAACCATAAAGAAGAACAAAATCATGAACTTCACAGCAACCTGGAAGGAATTAGAGTTTATAATACTGAGTGATCTTTCACAGAAACAAAGATCTGAGTATCACGTTCTCACTCATAAGTGGACCTTGAACAACTACCGTAATACTATAACAAAAAGATTGACAGTAGTGGAAAACTGTGTGTGGGGGGGTGGGATTGACAGTAGTCAAGATCTGCCTGGGGAAGGGGGCACACTTCATCAACAAGGGTACCTGCACAATGAATATTTGTATACCTAACCCTGAATTGTACCCCACAATTAAAAAAATAAAATAAAATGAAATGAAAAGGGGTCTTTAAAAAAATAAAATACAGTACAATTTAAATATGATTATAATACTTTAAGTACAATGTAAACTGTTTCCTAGCTTTGATTTAACTGTATATTTTTTCTCTGTTATAAACTGTTTGATTTTTCTAAATTATTAAATGCAACATTTTTACTTAAGTAATATAAGGTTGGTATTAAAAATGAATAATGATGCCAACATTACTAGGGCAAAATGATGTTCCTATACTTTTACAACTATAAACTTGGGAAAAAAATTAATACAATCCTGGACTGTTCCTTGTGTTAATTACAAACAATAGCAAAAATCATATCTATAACTTAAAATGAAGGAAGTATTCATTTTTATATTTTTATCAAGCTAAACAAACCTTGGCTAAAGTCCTGAGACATCAATTTCTTATTTGTAAAAATTGTGGCAAAGCTACCTACTTGGTAGAAATTCTGTGGGGATCATATGAGATAACATGAAACTTCTCTGGGAAGGTACTTCACATTTAACATGCACAATCAAGTTTGAGTTTCCCTGAGTTCTTTTTTTTTTTTTTTTTTGTACCAGGAAATTTCATTTCTTTGTCTCACAGACCCCAGAAAGAAGAATTCCTTAAGTGATCTAATTTGACCAGCGCTATACCCTTAATCTAATATAAACAAATTTATAGTTGGGACAAATCAATAATCTTTTCTTAATAAATATAAACTCTGTCACATAAACAATAGTACCAAATGTTAGCTTCTTGAATTATAAGATTATGTAAACTTGGATTTGTTGCTCCCACCTCAGATATTGCACAAGAGAAAATAGTGGAGAAGCTGAACAGATAATGTGAGGAGAAGCAATGTAACCAACATGACAGGGTTCTTACAGTTCCCATTGTACTGACCTGGCACCCTGGGTTCCTTATATATTTGGTGTCAAATTCAAATCCCATTGGGCCATGCTCTGAAAGTGTATCACATTATTTTGTATGTCCTTTAGACATACATATTTTTTACTATAGCTGGCTTGAATGTACTCTACCCATTACCACCAAATGAGTTTGGGCAATAGAATTGTTCCACTGCTCTTTAAATTCTGTTAATTAGAGAAACATATATTATTACAAAATATTAAGTTGTATTGTTTTTTATGAATATTGATTTTTTGATAGACTATAAGATCTGTCAATAGGGTTATTGACATTGTGTAGTATAAAAATATTAATAGATTCACCATATATTGACTGTTAAAGAAAAAAGATAATATGAAAAGTATATAATCCTAGGAAAGAAAAATACTCAAAATAGCTTGTCCAATAATTGAATGGGTTGTGCATGAAATACCATGGTCCCAAATTTTATTACATGGTAATATTTATGCATATCTGTAAAATTTAAACTTTAAAATTTAGGATAACCAAATAATGTTAAAGTATAAAGCTACTTATGGTGTCATGTAAGAATAAGCAAAATATTCAATGATGTCAGCAAAGATTCTTGCTTTTTCTGTGTTTTCACTATGTCATCTTCAGTATGCTGGTTATAGTCTTTAGTCTTTTTTGTTCGTTTATTCTTTTCCAAGATGCTGCCGAAGGCTTCCAAAACATAGCCAGCCATTAGCTATCCTTTTTTTTTGAGTTGGAGTCTCACTCTGTCACCCAGACTGGAGTGCAGTGGCCACTCCCGGCCACTGCAGCCTCAACCTGCTGGGCTCCAGCGATCCTTCCGCTTCAGCCTTCCAAGTAGCTGGAACTACAGGTGCGTGGTACCACGCCTGGCTAATTTTTGATTTATTGTAGAGACGGCGTCTCGCCAATTTGCCCAGGTGGGTCTTGAACCCGCGGGCTGAGGCAATTCACTCACCTCGGCCTCCCAAAGCACGGGATTACAGGCTGAGCCACCGAGCCTGGCTTAGCTGTCCTTGATTGTTTTTGTGTCCTGCACTACAGACTTTGTCCAAAGTTCCCTAGCACACTTCCTCCTAAAGCCCATTTTTTAGGTTAAGTGGGGTAGCTTGGTGTAGTCTACTGTTCAAGCAGAATTATGAATACTTGCTTTTTATTTTCAAATATGCCCAAATTTGGATGATAAACTATATACCTATTCTCAGTTTGGGTGTCATGCCTATGTCTTAAGAGCATGGGATCCTCAAAAAAGCAAGTATCTAGTAATTTCAGCCTCTATAATGGAAAATGATTCTGCCGAGAAATATGAGAATGGCTTTGGAGTAGGCAATCAATAACATCTGCCACATGTTAAGCACTAAACAATTTCCAATTTCTGATTATGAAGTTGGACATTACAAATTAGACTGCATAATTTATGTGGAATTTTTCTGGGATGATCTAGTTTTCTATGAACTTAGAAAAAAGTACTAATGAATTGATTTTATTATTCACGGAAATCTAATATGTCTGCTAATTTTAAAGCTTGATAAAGATAATATTAACAATTTCTCTACTTTTGCCTATTTTTAAAAATTATTTTTGAAGATATTCCAAATATTTTCTTTTTTTAAAATCTAGAATTAAACCCAGTGACCAAGAAACTTATGCTTCAAACAGCTAAACCAACTTTTGACCATCTGACAGATGTAAGTAAGATATTCAAGTCAAGCCTTGACCCCCTCCTCTACTTTGGGGAAGTGAATCTTCTCTTCCTCTTTTTTTCTCATTTACTTTCTAAATAAACTTTACTTGAACACGTTAAAAAAAAAGATATTCAAGCTATGATAAATATCACTTTTCACAGTAATTAAATGCAAACTTTTGTTGTCTTTTAATGTCTAGTAGCCTTCCTACTAAAATGACTATAGTATTATCTACTCTAGAAAATCATGGAATAGGACATTTGTAAAAATTCTTATAATAATCCATTCACCTGTTTATGTTTTAATTTTACTTATGGCAATTTTTTTGTGATATGGATATTTATAACAAACTACAAACACTTTCATAGTCTGGCTCAACAAAACTATACGTGTAATAAATCTTAAGAGTTTCACTTTTTAAAAATTTTTTTTGCGTTGGAGTCTCACTCTGTCGCCCAGACTTGAGTGCAGTCCACCGCAGCCTCGACCTGCTGGGCTTTGGCAATCCTTCTGCCTCAGCCTTCCAAGTAGCTGGAACTACAGGCATGCGGTACCACACCCGGCTGATTTTTTGATTTATTGTAGAGATGAGGTCTCACCAAGTTGCCCAGGCGGGTCTTGAACCCATGGGCTCAGGCTATTCACTTACCTCAGCCTCCCAAGGCATGGGATTAAAGGCTGAGCCACCGAGCCTGGATAGAGTTTCACATTTTTAAAGAGGAGTATAAAAATGTAAATAGTATTTCAAAGGGTTGCAAGTTATTTTTGTTGTTGTTTTTAGTATGTATGTGTTATGTGAATAAAATGTTTATATTTATAAAATTTCTATTCATAACATTTCTAAAGAGTGCATAGAGAATCACAAATCATTAGTCCATGCTAGAATATTTAGTTAGGTCATGTTGGAATGTTTAATCACTGATACAAGAAAGGTAATTAAAACTTTGAACAAGCATATCACATAATGAAGAATATGGAGAATATTTAGGTCAATAGTTTCTGGAGGGGTCTGGGTAAATTCAGATGTCCTGATGGTACTGCCCTTCATAAAAAGAAGATAGAATCTATGTGGCCTAAACTTCCAAAGACCACATTTTTGGAGACAGTGTTTGTAAAAAATGGTAGATTGTAATGTGTGATGTGAGAAAATGGTAGAGAAGACAAAAGGAGAAGGAAATGGATTGTCAGTGTAACCAAATAGGATTTTGAGGACCAGAAATACCTAAAACGAGTTTTGAAAGACTAAGTTGCTAACTGCCTCTTTCTCCTAACAAAATTCTTAATAAAATCCATATGACTCACTCTGGTGTCATTGTTTCCTTATGGTTGAATTTGAACACAACACATTGAATTCTTTTTTTTTTTTTTTTTTTGAGTTGGAGTCTCACTCTGTCGCCCAGACTGGAGTGCAGTGGCCGCTCCCGGCCACCGCAGCCTCGACCTGCTGGGCTCCGGCGATCCTTCTGCCTCAGCCTTCCAAGTAGCCAGAATTACAGGCATGCGCAACCACGCCCAGCTGATTTTTTGATTTATTGTAGAGATGAGGTCTTGCTGCCCAGGCGGGTCTCGAACCCGCGGGCTCAGGCAATCCACTCACCTCAGCCTCCCAAAGGCGCGGGATTACAGGCTGAGCCACCGAGCCAGCAACACATTGAATTCTTTATGATTAAAATGTCATGACAACAGAAGTTCCCTTAAAGGAGGCAATATCGGGGTTATATTTTAAAAACTCACCTGGGATTTATGAGTTAAGGTGCAGTTTTGAGCTGTAGTTTGGATTAAATTATCATGTAAAAGTGAGAGGAGTGTATCTTTGCCATGGTTGTCAAATGACACAAACTATGATGGTATTTGATATGTGACCTCATGGAAGAGAGACATTATGAGACAAATATTTGCAAACCTCAATTCCACCCATTTATGCCAAAAATAATTGCATATTCCCTGCACCTAAATTCTACCTACTGACCTGGCTAACACAAGTGGGAACTTGCTGGTCTCATTTATTTTGGTGTATGTGAAAATTGACTACATAAGTAAATTGCATGCAGGTGAGGTTTGGGATTTTAGTGACCTCTCTTTTCCCCTGGTGGTGGACTTGGTACCCAGTGTGGGAAGACATTTTCGTTACAGCAAACTCATCAAACTGGAATAGAAATATCTATTCCAAAGAGTACGTAGAAAAGAATCACCTCAATCACTTAATTGGGAGAGTACTCTAGGTAGGCTTTAGTGGAGCACTGGATATCACAGGTAAATCTTGGATGTTGTGTTCTCCTTGAGAAAAATATTTGGGGGGTGGGGAGGCAAGGAGAGGAACACAGATGTTTTTCTGTAGGAAACAACAGTGACAGAGAGAAAGTTATTCACCAGGGTTGGTGGGGATAGAAAATGCTGGCAAGAGTTAACTAACTGACTGGAAATGCCACCTCCTTGAAAAGAAATATAGATTTTACTTTCCTGGGGTTTCAGCATAATGAGGTATGTGACGTATTAGTAGAGGAGACATTTGAAAGGCAGTGGAAAAAGCAAAGTGAAGCAAGGAGAAAATCTTAGGTTGGAAGTGTCTCCAGAGAGATATAAAAGAAAATAGACATCTCTAATTAATTTTTTAAGTACTTTGCAGTGTCAGGTTTGACATATACCCTCTGTCTTTCCTCAAAATATGCAATTGCTCACTAATGATTTTGAAATGAATACATTTTTTTAAAATGTTGAGTGAAAAAAAAAAAGTGCTGACTCCAACTTCCATTTTGGTGGAGAAAAGAACAGATGCCATGTCCTAAGCCAATCACATCTGTGTTCCACCATGCAGCACAGAAAAAAAGAAAACGAAGCACACTTTATTCTGGCAATGTGTTAATGATCATTTGAGTGTTCATTTTTAATTCCATGTTTGTCACTATGCTGTTTTGTGACAGTTCTCAAGCTGCTTTGAATTTTACTTCTTCCAGGGGCGTCTATTCTGGTACTTTACACAAACTGTTTTCTTTTGTTAACTAATTCTTATAAGGTCAAAATTAAATGAGCAGATCATATATTTGAATAAAACATCCACCTGTATATGTTATACACTTTATTCATGTTGATTAGCATTTTTCCACAAAGATAAAATTATTTTGACTAATTTATAAAAACAATGTTCCAGACATTGCTCAGTTTTGCCTGAATAAGTAAGTATTGGATATTTAAACAAAGTCACATTTTTATGTACAGTGCCACAGAGAGGACCTTCACAAATAGAACCACCCTCCCTACTCATCTGCTCATATGGCATTTAATTCTTCTGTGTTTACTTTAGCAACTTTGTTATCTTTCACAATTAATCTACAGTCAATGTGGGACTATTGTCTATTGTGTAAATTTAAAGTGGAATTTCTTTTTTCCCATACGGATATCTCGTTTTCTCTGTCCCATGTATAAAAAGATCCATCTTCTACCCATTAAACTGCATTGTCACCATTGTTACAAATTAGAGGACAACACATACATAAGTTTATTTTTTATTTTATAAAATAGTTGCATTGGTCTATTTGTGTAAGCCAATAACCCTAAAAATAACCTACTGGAATTCTATGGTTTTCTTTGTTTTTCTGTAGTGTTATTTTGATGTGCTTATATATGGTTTTAGTTTTATTTCTACTTATCTTTGCAGTGTAGGTTTTAAAGCTTTTACATTTATGCATTTATAACTTTCTTTAGTTTTAAAATACTTTTAGCCAGTATTTCAAAAAATAATTATCTGTCCATTCATTTTTCATTGTATGTGTTTTTCCTCCTACACGTTTTTCTTATCTCTTATTGCTTCTCATCTCTACTTTAGTTCATATATTTTATTTGTTCTTCCTTCCAGTTTACTAATCCTATCTTCTGCTATTTTTAATTGGTGGTCAATTCATCCATTGAATTCTTAATTTCCAGTTAAATGAATCCCAACAATCAGATGATATTCTGTATTTTTAAAATCATTTTAGTCCAACTTTTTCATTATTTTCTGAACATTTTAAAAATTCTCTGAACAAATTAATAAAAGTTATTTAAATCCCCTTGTTTATTAACTTAAATATCTGAATCTTCTGAGCATTAAGATATAGACATTAATCTTTTTGTTTTTGGACATTACATAGTCTTGCTGTTAGTTTACCTGGTCATTTTCATTTGAATACTGGATATTTTGTACAACACTTGTACAGACTTCAGATGGTATCTTTCTTATGACAGGATTATTTATTTATTTAGTAGACAGATGGAGTAGGGGATTTATCACTTTAACCAGTCAGGGAAAATTGAGGCTGAATTACACGAGCAGTGTACTTTATCCCTGTTATTCTCCAGGGTTTTCAATGGAATTGAAAAACATCATTTGGGTCTCACCCCTGATAGTTTCTCCACCCTAATTTTGTTACTTTAGGAAAAACTGATGAAAGTTCAGCTCTTTTCCAAGTTTTTGTCTTAGTTTTTGAACATCTTGCACTGCATGATATCTTTTTTTTTTTGAGTTGGAGTCTCACTCTGTCACCCAGACTGGAGTGCAGTGGCTGCT